AATAACTGCCCAGCATCCTCTGCCCAACCAATCAGAATGTAGGAAAATCTACAGATATGACGGAATCTACTGTGAATCTACCTACCAGAAGTATGTTGAAATCTTTGTGAGTCTCCCTTCTGGCTCGTGCTTCAGTGCTTGTGGTTGCCAGCTATTCAAACATATCCTTGCATTGAAACCTTATCTTTATCTGATTTAGTGGGGAAAAATAAAATCAAACTAAACCAAATGAAAACAACATAAACAGTTTTTTGAACCTCTGAAATCAACACAGAATAAAATGTTTATTCTTTGGAAATTGTGGACTAAAAGTTTTTTTTTTTAAATGACTATTAAAGCTCTTAGGTAAGCTTCTTTCTATTGCAATAAACAAGTACTTATATGCAAGAAAATCTCGGGAAAATACATTGCACAGGTGCTACGCATCTTAGGGATTTGAAAGGTGTGTTATGTATAAATTAGCTGTCACTTTTTTTCAATCCTGTAATGGAATGATGAGTTGTAATTTGCATAATCCTTTAAGAAGTCAAATTATACTGTCATGTAGCAGACTTAACATGCTAGCTAAGATTTCAGAGCTCTGCAGCTAATTACTATGTACCTTACAGGACAGTTAAATTGAAGTTGAGTCCTCTGTCTTTGCTGCCATTTGCTTTGTCCATTACTTAACAGAATCTGCACTTTTGGTAACAAGGTGTTGTTACTATCGCTAAAATAAACACTGCACTGGGAGGAAATGGCATTTTAATATAGCGTAACTTGACGTGTATTGCTTTTGCTAAAAGGAAAGTTAAAAAAAATTTAAACAATAATTCAACTGGAGTCTGTTAAAAAGGGATAGAAATGTATGCTTTCCAGGAAAGTTATAAACTGCTGGTTGAAACAGTATTAACCTTTAATTAATTACATTCCTTTATAGAAAAAGGCAAAATCACATGCACATAATTCCACGCAGGCATTGCTCTTTCTGGATGTACTTTGCAAATATACGTTGGTGTGTTTTTGTCTTCCTCCTCTTCTTTTGCAGTAGAGTGATATTGTTGAAAAAACAAAAAGTGCCCCCTTTTTTTTCCTTAAAATTCCTTTCTGAGTACAAGCTGGTGAGTTCTGCTTTTATTTACTCCTCTGCCTGGTTTAGAGCATTTTTCCTTTCATGGTTTTCAGTTTTAAAATCATCAGGAAGGCTTGGTGGCTATGAAGGCTGCTCTCTGAAATGGACCCTGAGTGGATGCCGGATGGAGCCGGGACTGTTTGCTGCCGGGCATGGTTCGGTGGAAGCCATTATTGCTGTGTCTTCACTCCACATTCATCTTTGGTCTCATTTCATGATACCCTGTTGCCTAGCTAGTGTGATTGTCGTCTTCAGAACTGGTGTGACGATTAACTCCAGACTGTTTCTGATGATGATTTGAAGGCCATTCTTTATGTGCCAGCCAGTGGCTGTGGCTCTTGGTGACCAGGTTTCTGGAATTTGTGATTTCGTGGCCTAGCTGTGCTCTCTGGTCACTTTGAGGAAGGCTTTGGAGTATAGAGCAGGGTCCCTGAAGGACCACATGAAAGCACCTGTTGGTTGTTGACCACGCAAATAAATGGAGCCCCACAGCCCACCGTTGCTGGATTGTGATGAAGCCGGCTTCACGTCTGTGAGCGTGGTCGGAGGGAGGAGCCTGAACCGGACCACAAGGCCTTGCGGCCGTCCTGAGGCGTCCCTTCTAGCTGTAGGCGTCATCTTTACGAATCGCTGTTATTTGTAGTCAAGGTAGACACAGCAGGCGGCACAGCGGTGACTGCCAGGGAAAGTCACTAGGGGGATTCTCATAACAAGGAAATATTGGCAAATAAATGATGAAGAAGGGGAGGAAATCCCCAAGATGTTCAATTGCAGCGCTGTCACCGGGATGATTAATGGTATTGTGTATTTTAGTGAAGACGCTTATCTGAATTGTCTTGAAACTATAGAGTACGGTTAATAGCACCTATAAAAAGCATGCGGTGTACAGGCATGCTGAAAAGAGGATGCCGTGGATTCAGTTTTTATTTTCCTGAGTGAGTACTTTCTCCAACTAAGTGGTTGGCCTCTGATGATTAGAAAGCTGGTGTTATTGTATGTTTTATACAGCATGTGCTCTTTCTGTGTTATATTTCAAACATTAGTTGGCACCTGTATGGTTCTCCTCCCTAGAGGGCTAAAGATTGTTTTTTTAAATGGGTATATTTTCACTGCTGTTGAAGGGTGGGCGTTGGCAGCAGTAGGGAAATAATGCTGACCAGGATCCAGTCTTCCTAGGCAAACACCCAGAGTCACGGGCTTGTACTGGGGGAACTGCTAAACTTTGATTAATTATGGGCTCAGTGAAAAAAAAAAATTCACTTTTGGTGGTGGGGTGGCTGTCTTGGAAGATTCCTTAGCTTTTATTTCAAGCCATAAATATCCCGATTGTAGGCCTTGAATTCTCATTTGCCTGGAGTGATCAGTTAGTAGGCTTCGCAGGGGCAAATTTGGGCAAGTTACCTCACTTCCTTGGCCCTCGGTATTCATAGTTAGGTATCAGAATAGATACAGTCAAATGGTGCAGTTGTGTCTTCAGTGGGCTTACAGTGTCTTTCAAAGTCTGGATTATGACCCAACTAGGGGGAAATGAATTCTGATCAGTGGACCTTGGTCGACATTTTTAGAATGAATAAAAAATTGTAATGCATTGCACTTAGTGTGTTGTATTTGAGGAGTCCTGTTAGTGTCATCTAGTTGTGTATGAGTATAGCCCAGTGCATATACATGTGTATAGTGGGTGGGGGGGGTCATGAGATAAAATGTTTCTTAATGTGTTTCTCATCCAAAAAAGAATGCATGCCATTGTAATAAGAGTTGAGTAGGTAAGTTTAGAAGCATAATGCAACAGGTGGGTATGTAAGTGTTTTGTCATTATGCGTTCAGGATACTCTGGCTTATAAAGAAATGGTTCTGTGGGAAGGTGTCAGGAGTGAGGAGACCGTACTTCATGGGGACCCCTATCCAGTGATGTGGAACCAGTTGTGCACCCCTCTTCTTCCTTGACCCCACGTTAAGGACTTGAAGTTGGGGCAAGTATGTGCACCATGGGATTAGGAAATGATGCAACTCAGGTGCTGTCCTACCCCCAACTGGCTGTTGAAAATTGACCAGCATCTCATTGCTCATATTTCTTCCAGCTATATCTCTATGGTTTTGTGGTGTGAATCATCTCAGATCTAAAGCTATGTGTTGCATTTACATTTCTTTGGAATTATAGAAATAATCAGACAGTTGTTTCAATAATAAATTTTATAGCCAACAGGAATATAATACCTGTGATTATTCCAAAAGGTCTATAATTTATTATTTCAAAATAATTGTCAGTCACTCTAATTTTTTAGTGCTGATTTTGGTACTTCCAATTTAAAATTTCAATTTGTAATTTATCGACTTTCTTGGCATAGTATAGAAAGAATGGGGTTTTTAAAATATTAATCATACTGGAAATATTTTACACATCTCATTGTTTTAAGATAAGCAGTTATTTTGCTGAGGTCTCAAACTTTTTCAGTTTTTTCCCAGACCCCTCATCCCTTTTGCACTTGTCTTTTGGAGTTCATGATAGTATCTCTGTGTCTTAGCAAGTTCACTTACTTGTGAAGTAGTAAATTTGATTGAGAGATGCCAAAGTTCGTTCTTTTTTTTGACAGGCAGAGTGGATAGTGAGAGAGACAGAGAGAAAGGTCTTCCTTTTGCCGTTGGTTCACCCTCCAATGGCCGCCACGGCCAGCGCACCGCGCTGATCGGAAGGCAGGAGCCAGGTGCTTCTCCTGGTCTCCCATGGGGTGCAGGACCCAAGAATCCGGCGCCCCAACCGGGACTAGAACCCGGTGTGCCGGCGCCGCTAGGTGGAGGATTAGCCTAGTGAGCCGTGGCGCTGGCCCAAAGTTCTTTCCCAACTAAAATAGTTCTCAATTCTAGAATTTTCCAATACAAAAGCATTACGGAGTCTGAAAATGGAGAAAAGCCTTTGAACTTGATTTTTAAAGAAACTTGCGCTGAGTCCTAGGAAAGAAGTATTCATTGACATAAGAAGGAGTTGTGTAATAAGCCTGGGTTAAGAAAATTTGTGGAAAAAGATAAGCAGGAGGAGTCAAGTGAGCCAGGCCTTTGTCGCCTCAGTCTGTGTTTCCATGCACCCATTGCAGCAGTATTTAGGAAGGGTTGCGTTTGAGGACACAGGAACTCGAATTACTAACATTTACTGAGCCTTCGCAAAGCCCTGCAGTACCTGGATTGAATCCCGGGTTCCTAGACTCTGCACACAGCCAAGATGGAGGAGCCCTGATTGAGAAGGTGTTCGTGATGGATTTAGTTGTCACTGAAAGCAGAAGCGGCATTGGCAGAGTGGCGAGTTACGTCTTTGTTGAGCTGTCTTCTCATCCCAAGCTCCTGTCCCATCTCTGCAAATTTCATTCCACATAGGTCCCTGGTTAGTGTTGCAACCCTGGGCCGCATCCTTGGCAGAGGGGTGGGGGGGGCATTCTTGTTTGCACCCCTCCTAGCAGATCAGCCTTTGTGAACTGAGAAGGTTACTCGTCTGAGGACCATTTGCATTTTCATAAGCAACTCTATGTGAGCCAATGCAGGAAAAGGGGGGTCTTTTTTTTGCATTTGGGTAATTTCAGACACCAAGACAAGGCTTAGAAAAATTAGTTTAGGGCTGGAGGGAAGTTAAGTTTCTCCTTTGCCTGAAAATAGTGAACATGGGGTGTGAGGGTTCTACTTGGTACAGGGTGAAGGCTGGCCGTGGGCCAGAAGCAAGAGTTTTGTAATGGGGAGATTCAGACTCCAAGGAGGGAAGGAATTAACAAGGACCAGGGATGAGCAGAGGAGAGAGAATGAGGGAGAAGGGGCCTCAGCAGGTTTTTCTCAGCTGTGCTGTGCCACGCGGCGTGCTAGGCATGTACCGTGCTATCCTAATTAAGGGGAACAAGACAGATGCCTTGTCGGGCGACGCGCTGGGCGGTAGAGGATCACCTGTGCTGAAGGCAAAGGGAGGCTCAGAAGGCTGGGAATTCTCTGGCTGGTTGTGTAA